TAAATTTATAATTATAATGCATCATTAATTTTTTTATTTTCATTTAAGAATTCATTTGCAATATCTTATATATTAACTCATTTATGATGCATTATAATTTTCATAAGATTGTAATTATATAAGATCGTAATTATATCATTACCATGATGGAATAAAAGATTACAATTTAGCTATCAAATGCAACCCACTTATAAAGACACTTATAGTTTTATTAAGGTTAAACTTCTAATTTGATTTTTGAATTATTGTATGAATCTCTGATTTGGTTCCTAAACTAAAAAAAAATCTTTAATTTGATCTCTGAACTATTATACAAACTTCAAATTTGGTCCATATTGTTTACCAATTTGCCCCAAGTTGGTCATTTTGTACAAAAAAAAAGCTAATGTGTCTGTTATTTAACAACAAAAAATAATAATTTAACGATGAAAAATAGTAATTTTACGATCACGTGTCACATTAATAATAAGACACATTAGTTGGTTTTTATACGAAAAAACCAATTTGGGATAAATTGGTAAATAATAGGGACCAAATTAAGAGTCTATACAATAGTTTAGTGACCAAATTAGGTATTTTTTATAGTTTAGAGAACAAATGAGGTCCGTACAATGGTTTAGGACCAAATTAGGAATTTAACATTGTATTAAAAATATGGATATACACTTACCCGTTTAACTAACCAGGATCCGTGGCGCAATGGTAGCGCGTCTGACTCCAGATCAGAAGGTTGCGTGTTCGATTCACGTCGGGTTCAATCCCCATGATCCTCAAATCGGATCCCCTTTTTTTCTAATATAGCTCAATCACGCGCATCACTACCGTCCATCTACCCGGCGATTCATCTACGGCTATGGAAATTACAAAATCCTCCAAATTCCCAATCCCTCTCTAAGTCTGTCGCCGTCATCGTTCCACAGCAAAAAACCCCCCAAAACAAAACCCTAATTCATTGCTCACAGTATCTCCTCCAATGGCCCTCTTCGCTCGCGTCCGTACCGCAAAACCACCATTCCTCCACCTCCGATGCTTCTCGATCCTCTCCCCGGATTCCAACACCCCTCTCACTTCCGTTCAGAAAACACGCGCCGCTCTCTCCCTTCTCAAGTCGGAGGAAAACCCAGATCGCATCCTCGAAATCTGCCGCGCCGCGTCCCTCACACCGGAGTCCCATCTAGACCGTATTGCCTTTTCCGTCGCTATCAATAAACTCTCTCTTGCAAACCATTTCCAAACCATCGATCAGTTCCTCAAGGAGCTTCGAACTCGGAGAGATTTGCAAAATGAGCGTTTCGCAGCTCATTCTTTGATTTTGTACGGTCAGGCGAAGATGATTGATCAGGCGGTTTTTGCTTTTGACGAGTTGTATAACGAAGGGTTATGTAGTTCGGTTAAGTCGTTGAATGCTTTGATTATTGCTTGTATTTTGGCAGGGGAATATGGGAAGGTGAATAGGATTTTCACAGAGTTCCCCAGGAAGTATGATATCACGCCCAACTTGGAAACTTACAATGCGGTAATCAAGGCGTTTTCTGAATCTGGGTCTTCCAGTTCTGCCTACTCGGTGGTGGCAGAGATGGAGAGAAAGGGGGTAGAACCAAATAAGACAACCTTTGGGAATATGCTTGCTGGGTTTTACAGTGAGGAGAAGTACGAGGATGTTGGAAAGGTTTTGAAGATGATGGAGGAGCGTGGTATTCCAAGAGGGCTTAGTACCTATAATATTAGGATCAAGGGCTTGTGTAAGTTGAAGAAGTCATTTGAAGCTAAGGCTTTGCTTGATGGGATGTTGTCCAGGGGGATGAAGCCAAATTCGGAAACTTATGGCCATTTGATACTTGGGTTTTGCAAGGAAGGAAATTTGGAGGAAGCTAAGAATATGTTTAAGAGCATGAAGAAAGCAGGGTGCAAGCCAGATGCTCAGTGCTATTTTACTCTGGTGTACTTTTTGTGTCAAGGTGGGGATTTTGAAACAGCATTGAGTTTCTGCAAGGAGAGTATGGAAAAGGGTTGGGTTCCATCATTCACAACCATGAAGTCACTTGTAAATGGGCTTGCTGGCATGTCTAAGGCCGAGGAGGCACGGGACCTTGTTGGGCAATTGAAGCAGAAGTTCTCCAAGAATGCAGATTCATGGACTGAAATTGAAAATGGTTTGCCTCAATAGTGAAGAGAAGCCAAGGTATGCTGTGCATTGTTCCCTGAGAGTTCAGAGTGTGAACATGTAATCACTGGTAACTTGGATGGAAAAGTGAATGGATATGATACCTTGCAGTCAACAGTCATTCTCCTTTTTTCTATTTAGAATTACCAAATAATAACATCCATTATCACTGATTTGAGCTGACGCTTTATGGGAATGGAAACTTTTTATCTCTTTGGGTGAGGAACTTGAAGACATTTTCTTTGTTTGGTTAAGTGTCACGATT